GTTTTGGGGAAGAAAAAAATGCGTCTTATATGCCGAAAAATACGGTACATGTTTTAATAAATCAGTGACTGCACTGTTTGTATTTTTTGCCGTTCCCTTAAAAAGGTGCTTGATTGGAAAAATGTTATCTTATAATGAATTTCCTTGTGCATTATTATGATAAAATCAGTACAATTCAGATATATTTAGTTGTGTTTAAGAGTTAGATAGGCAGTTTGAATGACACTTAATTTTATAAAAGGCCTCTCCTATCTTCCCACAAAAAGAAAATTGGGATAGTGTAAAGAGCCAGTGTGGTATGGTGGTTTGAACATTGGACTACCACTCTGAACACCAAGGTTTGATTCCCTGCTCCGCCATGGAAACCCACTGGGTGACCTTGGGCAAGTCACACACTCTCAGCCTCAGAGAAACCTGTGAGCGTAGTCATAAGGCAGAAATGACTTGAAGGCACACAACAATAAGAGCGAAGAGCAGAAAATAGGAACTCTCTCAGATAAACAAAGAATTGCGTATCACTGGGTTTGTTCACATGGCGTTTTGTGTTCCCTTGCTTCACCCTGGCAAAACCTAACTCTGTGACTCCAGTGGAGATACAGAGACACTAAGTCTTGGATGGGGGAAAATATTACGAAAGGAAGGAAGGACAGTGTAGTAGGTTCACCCGAGAGTTCAGAATAATAAATGGATTATCTCCCCCCTCCATCATCTCTACAGCAAATGCCTTGAAAGCACTTTGTCTAATAGATCTGGAGTCATCCACTAAGTGATTTCATGATTCCCTCATGGTTTCCCTTTATGAAGGCCAGATACAATGGCCGCTAATGAAAAGAGCTGGCAAATTGCCTTTTATATTCCTTCTCCTGCCCTCTCATATCCTCCAATATAACCTAGTATTTCAAATATAGGGCAGGATATCAATCCATTAGTCCCCTCTCTCTCTCTCTCTCTGTTTTTCAGGGGCTTCCCTGAGCCCTGGACCATTTTGCAATTTGGCATTTTTGCTCTAGAGAATGGTAGGGACTGCATCTTCCAGCATTTCTCACCACTGGCTATGCCAGGGGTCCCCAAACAGACCTGGCCCACCAATGCCTTCCCACCGGCCACTGCCGGCGGATGCCATTTTGTCTTCCAAAATGGCGCCTGGAGTCGTGCGCATGCGCGCATACCTCCGCCCCCCCAGAAGATCTGGGGCCAGCGAACCGGCCCCCGGATCCAAAAGTCCGTGGACCCCTGGGCTATGGTAACTGGACAAGAGTGTCACTTGAAGGGTGCAGACCACACCAGGTGACACTCTAAGGGAGGGTGACACCACTGCTTCCCAAACATCTGCCTTTGGGCAGAAACAAGCTGTGACATTCACCTGTGTCCTTTTAAAACACTGAAGAGTGGGGTGTGGTCAGTGGGAAGAAAAAGGAGAGTTTTTTTAAAAATTAAATTTTTAATTTTTTTATTCTTTTAAAAATTTAAAAAACATTACTTCTTACCAAATTTTCACATTTACAACATGAAACTGTGTACATGTAAATGCATTTAGGCTGCGCATATGACATTGTAATTTAAAGGTATAATTTTAATTTTGCTAGTTACATTCAGTGATATACAGGAATTTCAATTTATAAGTAACATTAGTACAAAAACCATTACTAAGGATTTGTATGATGTGGTACGGGAGGAGGTCAATGTGGGGTGAGTTGCTGCACCAGGTGATGCCACTGTGACTGGGGATGCTGGAAGTTGCAGTTTAGGGGTGTGCATGATTCCTGTCTGCTGTAGAGCAGCATTCTTTAGACTGCTACATTGCAGGTGTATACGTTTACAATCCTATCATCCCCAGCCAGCAATGGCCAATCCTGTCTTAAAGCAGAAGTAATAAAACTTGATCCTAAGTTTCTTTCAAAGCAACTTGTTGCAGGAGGGGCTTCTGAGTATTGCAGAGGATTCTGGAATCTATGGCAATACTGATATGTGTGTGTATATGTGTTTCATGAGTGTGAGTGTAGAAATCCTGGGCAAGTTACTCTTCAGCTACCCTCCTAATACACTTCTGGGCATTGTGCCTTCCTGGTTTGTCTCCCCTATTGGTGTTCTTTGCTTTCCTTTTACCCCTTTACATTACCTATAAAATAAATAACATAATAAAATGAACATAACATAATAAAATAATAAAATAACATAACATAATAAAATAACATAATAAAAAATAAAGTAATAAAATAAAAATAACATATTTCAAGACCAGGAAAAAATAAAAAGATGTTGAATGCAATACACAGAAGAATTATACAAAAGAGATGACAAAATGAAGGACACATCGAACAAAGAGCCATATGAACAGAGGTAGGCAACCTTTCCCCTTTAAGGGCCGAGGAACTTCAGCTCCCAGAAGCCTCAGCCATGTTGGCCAATAGTCCCATGTTGGCCGATAGCTCCTGGGATTCTGGGAGCTGAAGTCCCTCGGCCCTTAAAGGGGAAAGGTTGCCTACCCCTGCATATGAAGACGAATCCCAAATTCTAAAAAGCGAGGTGGAAACTGCAATAAGAGAAATTGTGAAAAACAAATAACCAGGAATAGATTATATTCTAATTGAACTGCTGCAATCCACATTGACAAAGTCAGCTATAGTGCTAACCAACATATGTCAACAGATATGGAAAACAAAAAGATGGCCAACAGATTGGAAGAGATCAATATACATCCCCATCCACAAAAAGGGAGACACAAGAGACTGCAGCAACTATAGGTCCATAGCACTGATCTCCCACACAAGCAAAATTATGCTCAGAATTCTGCAACATAGACTCCGACCATACATGGAGAGAGAGATCCCAGAGGTCCAAGCAGGGTTCAGGATAGGAAGAGGTGCTAGGGACCACACTGGAAACATACGATGGCTAATGGAGTGTACGAGGGAATTCCAAAATGTTCTTTATAGACTATAGCAAAGCCTTTGACTACATAGACCATGAAAGGCTATGGAACACCCTTAAAGACATGGGAATGTTAACACATCTGGTAGTACTGATGAGGAATCTGTACTCAGGACAAGAGGCTACTGTCCGGACAGAAACAGAATGATTCCCATTCGGCAAAGGAGTCAGACAAGGCTGTATCCTTTCACCCGATCTGTTCAACTTGTATGTAGAACATATTATAAGAAAAGCAGGCTTGGACACAGAAGAAGGAAGAGTAAAAATAGGAGGAAGGAATATCAACAATCTTAAGATATGCTGATGACACCATAATACTAGCAGAAAACTTCACAGACCTGGAACACTACAAAGGAAGATCCAAGAAGAAAGTGCAAAGGCAGGCTTACTGTTGAACATAAAGAAAACAAAAATAATGATCACAGAGGACCTTCAAAAGGTCAACCTGGACAATGAAGAAATAGAAATAGTAAAAGAATTCCCATACCTGGGATCAAACATTGATAGAAATGGGGACTACAGTCAGGAAATCAGAAGAAGATTAAGAATGGGAAGAGTGGCTATGAAAGTACTAGAAAATATTCTAAAATGCAAAGAGATACAACTCAACACAAAAGTTAGAATCATACAAGCCATTGTATTCCCTATTCCCATGGATGGATGTGAGAGCTGGACAGTTAAGAAAGATGATAGGAAGAAAATCGATGCATTTTGGAGAATGCGGGGCTGGAGAAGAATGCTGAGGATCCCATGGACAGCCAAAAGGACAAACAAGTGGGTCCTGGAGCAGATCAAACCAGAAACCTCCCTGGAAGCCAAGATGACCAAACTGAGAGTGTCGTACTTTGGACACATCATGAGAAGGCATGAATTATTGGAAAAGACAATAATGATAGGAAAGGTGGAGAGATGTAGGAAGAGAGGAAGGTCACATGCCAGATGGATGGACTCTATTAAGGAGGTCATGAGTATTAAGGGGTGTCAGGAATTAAACAGAGCAGGGGAGGACAGAGGGTTTTGGAGATGTCTCATTCATAGGGTCGCCATGAGTTGAGATCGACTTGAGGGCAGTTAACAACAAATTTCCTCCCCACCAACATTTGGTCTAGCCTTGCCTTACTTCCTCCATCAAGAGAGAGCAAGCTGGTTTTTAACCCCCTCTTTCTTTTAACTTAGAGTTTGGGTGCTTTTTACTTTCTCACACTCATCAGCAGTGTGGCCCCGGATGATGCGGTGCCTGAAGAACTATATTGCAGCAAAGACTTTCCCCATATATGGACTAAGTAATGCCAGATGTCCAAGCTGGGATCAGGAAAGGAAGAGGCATTGGGGATAATATCACAAATATAAATTTGATAACAGAGCACATCAAAGAATTTAAGAAGAAATTCAGCCTGTACTTTATAGTATATAGCAAAGACTTTGAATGTGTCGATCATGAAAAACTACAGATCGCTCTTAAAGAAATGCTCATGCCACAACATTATTGTCCTGGTGTACTCAGGCTACAGTTAGGACAGAATATGGAGAAGGAGAATGGCTTCTAATTGGCAAGGGAGTCAGGCAAAACTGTATTTTGTCATCCTATCTGCTTAACTTGTATGCTGTGGGTGGGAAGAGGCATGAAAATTGGAGGAAGGAACATCAACAATTTAAGATAGGCAGATGCCATAATACTAGCATGAAATTAGCAAAGACATTGAACAATTATGAAAGGAAATCAACGGAGAAGGTTCAAAGGCAGGTTTACAGTTGAGCATTAAGAAAATAAAAATAATGGCTACAGATGATTTTGTGTACCTTCAAGTCATCATAGGGTTTTCTTGGCAAGTTTCTTCAGAGGGGCTTCCATTGCCATCCTCTGAGGCTGAGAGAGTGTGATTTACTCAGTGGGTTTTCCCTGGTTGAGCTGGGGTTCGGACCCTGGTCCTCCAGTCTCCTAGCCCAGCTCTCAGACCATTACACCATGCTAGCTCACAGATGATGATGTATGTAACTTTAAAGTAGATGATGAAGACATTGAAATAGTTCCACATTTTCCATACCTTGGATCCATCATTAATGAGAATGGAGACTGCATTCAAGAAATCAGAAGAAGACCAGGTCTTGGAAGGGCAGCTATGAACGAACTAGACAAGATCCTGAAATGTCAAGATATATCTTTGAATATTAAAATCAGGATAGCCCATGCTATTGTATTTCCAATTTCTGTGCATGGTTGTAAAAGCTGGACAGTGAAGAAAGAAAGCTGATATGAAAAAGAATCTACTCTTTTGAAATGTGGTGCTGAAGAAGAGTTCAACGGCTATGGTGGACTGATAAAAAGACAAATAAATGAGCCTTAGATCAAATAAGCTGAAATTGTTGTACTTTGGACATATTATGAGAAAACATGACTCACTAGAAAAGACAATAATGCTTGGTAAGG